CACGTGGTGCCAGATCTGGGGAATGACGTGGATGAGGGCACAACATAATGTTTTCACAAGCCTACTGTTGAATGTCACTTGGCAGCAGCCTTCCCCGTATTTTTTACCACACCTCGTAAAGATACTCATGAAAGAAACTTCTAGAACTGCTCCTAGACTTCTAGAATGGCAAGAATGATGGTATAAGTGTGTTCACAGCGAGGGAGAGTATTTTGAGGAGGATTGATGGAATGTGTCTTTTACTGTGATACATATTTTTAATTTAACACTAACCATAAATTTTGATCACACCTTGTGCATGCATCTGTATATACGTACACACATGTACAGGGTAATGTCAGATAGTGATAAATATAAGGAGAAAAAGCAAAGCTGAGTGAGAGGACAGAGAGAAGCATGGGGTGATTTTTAGGCAGAGCAGCTAAAAGAGGATTCTCTGAGACGGTGACATTTGAGCCAAGGTATGAATGAAATGAGGAATTGAAACACGAGACTCTTTGGGGGTAGTGCATTTTTGTGTAAATTTAAAATTATTCCAAAACTTTAAAATATGTATAAAAAGGATATCTCAGGGAAGGACATTCAAAGCACAGAGTACAAATGAATGAGTCACCAGAAACACCTGGCATCTTGATACTGGTAAAGCAGGGGGTGGCTGGGACAGACAGGCAGGTGGCAAGCTGCATATCATTTCCATTTATTTAATAAACTTCAAATATTTGTCAAGGTATAAAAGCATGAGATTAAAAATCAAATAAGTTACAAAGGGTTGAAATTAAAAAGGAGCATTCCTGGTCCCATGCAGTCCTTGTCCTAGGAGTAATCAGACATCCACTTTTGAGTGAGTTTACCTTGCTTCACCAGACCTCCTCTTCTTAGCTCCTCCAAATATAGTTGTAGAATTTTTTAGTTCTTCTACTGGCTATCTTTGTAATTTTCAACAGCAGACCCAAACTCTAGAACTCCCTTTGCCAGCCACAGATGTGTACCTGCTTTCTCTCTTTGTAATATCAGGATGGTGCCTCCTACTTTCCTTCGACCACTCCCTGGGGCTGGTGCTGATGGCAGGCTGGTACTCTATGACCCTCCTCCTTGGCCACAGCTGATTGGAAGTGGTTCACGACAGGGTCAGTTTGTCTTTTCTGGAAATTTAAAAATGGAACGAAATCTTCTGGTGCTAGTCTGGTGGGCTTTGTGAATAAAAATGACATAAAAGCTTCAAATCTGCCTCCCATCTTTGAGATCAAAGAGCAAAGGAGGCAAAACAATTTTTTTCATCTGAAAATATGAAAAGAAGCAAAGATGAAAACTGGAGTGACTGTCAAAGCTTCTGATGGCTTTTATTTCCGATTCCAGTTCCTTGCTGAGACCTAATTGTATCTGCCTTACGGTTCCTTAAAAACCAAACCCCCTATTTTCATAAGCTAGCTCCAGTATATTTTTGAGGTGACAGACAAAATATACTCACTAATGCAATGTCCCTTGTAATAAGATCAGCTCCTTGGGGAACGAGACCCGCATCTTTGTCTAAAGTGCTGAGCAGACTGCCTTGCACATGGTAGGCACTCGGGGAACAAATGTTGCATTGAAGTAGCTGCCAGTACCCCTCCCTAAATGATACGACTACCTCACGAGGAGCTTGCTCCTCCGGAAGTGAGAGTAACTGATGTATGACAGAGTGAATAGGAAAAGATGCAAATAGGTCCACTGTACCAGCTGCTCACTCGCTAATAGTGAAAGTGGAAGGAACGTATTTTAAGACGAGAATCAGATGTCAGCACCAAGCTGCCTGAATGCCTCCTAGTCTCCTGCCAGATCAGTAGAATCAGCAAGGATCATGGGCAAACAGAGGAAAACGCTAGCTCCATCACTTTAACGAAAGACAGCGCTTTAAATCTCTGGGGTCCCCGTTTGAGCTGGCGAAAGAGCCCTCTGGTGGTGAAAATGGGCAATTCTATCTAGGCTTGGATTCCAGGCGAGCACCGTGTACACACACACCTGCAGGCTCTGTTGAATGAAAGGATGAGGTCAGCACCGAGTAACCAAGGAGGCATCATCAGGAGGCGGCTGGCGGCTTCCCTGCCTCCCCACCCCACGCCAGTCAGGTGTTCTGAGTCTCTCCCCGTGCAGGCTCACGACCGCCTACTCGCTGATCAGCTTTGGCTCTGGACCAAAACAAGGATCCTGCCTCACCAGGCCAAAAGCACTGTATAAAACTCGATTCTTACTACTTGTGTCCTTTCTCCTTCTTCAGAAAACCTGTCAAACTCCTGACTATGATTGTTGCTTTATCTACCCGAGCTCCTGATTTCTTCTCACTCGCCTACTTGGATTCCGCCTGCCAGACCCCCTGGGCTCCTCACCCTGTGTGTCTGCTGTATGTTACAGAGCTGGGGCAGGGGTAGACGTGGAGCTGCTCTTGCTTCACTGGGGACCTGGTGACAGAGGGGCAGCACACACAAGGGCCAAAGCCCCTTGACTGCCCATCAACACTGCCTTACTTTGAGAGAACACCTTTTTTGTGCCCCTACTGGAGTAAAGGAAGAATAAAATAAATCCTAGAATAACTGTTTTGATCCTTATTAATTCATATTCCTTAAGTTCCACTAATTTAATAACCTTTCCTCAGAAAGACCAAATTTACCTCTGTGGTACATGTGGACTTTTTCTTTGTCTTTTTTATTAGTATATGTTTGGGATACATAATACTTACATTCATCTTGAGGAATTGGTATGCACACATGCTGCATCTCCATCATTTTTACTTCCTCTTTCCTTCTCCACCCTCCCATGTCCTATCATATCCACATCCTCTTTCCATCTCTACGAAGTCTACCTTCCTGTTTCCTACCATGTATCTTTTATTTTGTTCTTTAAATTATTTATACTTTGGGCTTCTCATATAAGAGAAATCATGTGATATCTAACCTTCTGGATCTGATTTATTTCACTTAGCATTATGGTCTCAAGGTGCATCCATTTTCCTACAAATACATGGCCTTTTACTTTAAAATAAAAGTAATAATTGGGCCAGGGATTTAGCTCAGTGGTTCTGGCACCTGCCTCGCAAGCGCAAGGTCCCGAGTTCAATCTCTGGTACCAAAAAAAAAAACAAAAAACATAGTAATAATAGTCAAGGCAGACTTATTTTTGAGAAGTGAATTTTCTTCACAGGATAAAACATGAAGCAAGTAGTAGGAGGCCTTGTCTGCCTTCCCCAGTTATCTGCTATCATTCTTCTAGCCAGCTGTGGTCCTGGCTCTGAATTTATGTGTGCCCTTTATGTGCCAAATTCTCAATATAAACTATGGCACTTATGAATGCAACTAAATGCGTAGAGATGTACAGAACTATCCAAACCTACATGCAGGGCAGGCATGCACATTCACATGTGTATGCCATGTGTACAGCACATATTTAGAGCAAATATGTTCACATGGCCCACAACACTGCTTGTAGGTGTATAAATATATTTACATACCTGCTTTGTCCTGCTTTGTTTCTCCTACAAATTCACAGGCATTCAGAACACATAACAGAGTTAAACACAGCACGGGTGAACATTCAAACATGAATATTAAAACCTATGCATGAATATGCAAGTCTGTCTACCCAAAGGGCCTAGTGTTCAAGTGACCCTAGCATCAAAATAAAAATAACGAAGTCTGGGGGAAATTGTGAGTTGTATTTGAGAACTCTCTGATACATTGCTGCTACCCAGTTATCTGATAGACACTCTCAGACAGATACCCAGAGATGCTACCTCCAGAGTATGTGTGCCTACGATTATCTCCCACTATATTAAATAACATTCAAACATGACAGTTGGTGCGGACACATCTCAGAAGAATCAGCCTCAATTCTGAACACCAACCTCTGAGTATCAGTCCTCTCATGCCGCAAGAAAAAAATAATAAGAGCAATTCTGTGGGATGCCTTTCATCCTCGGTGTGTGCTCACGCATATGCTAGCATACACAGTACTAAAAATCCAGTTCAATGCCAATCCTTCGCTATTTCCAAGGGGGACGTGGAATGTGCGCTTTGGACTAACAAGGACAGCAGAACTGACTTCTCGTGTATCGTGGTCTGACTTAGACAAGGATGTTAACACATGAACATTACAGGGACCTCCGGAAAGAACCTGACATTTTCAGCGGCTCTCCAACCTTGTTGAATCCATCACCCCCTCAACTGTAAAAGTGTTAAAATATTTAAGAACTATATTCAGACACCAGAATTTCACATCCCTTCACCCAAAGTCCCTGCTACACGTACACCAGCGTCAACCGCAAACACATTTGGGTCCTTTGGTCTTTTGGGAATACGTGTTCGTGTGTAAGTGGATGGTTCCAGGCTTGATCTGAGCACACTGTCTCGCGTGTAAACCAGGGCTCCAGAGAAGGGAGGGTAGACATATTGGTTTGTTTTCTGGGAAGCAAAACTGAGACAGATTCTGAGCAGATGTGCCTGTGACAAGGCTTTTTGTCCACCCCAAGTGGGCCATAGAACTGTCACCCAGAGACGCCGGCCCCTTTAAGAGCGCTAGGTTTTGGGGGGCTTGTCTCTCTTCAGTGGGCTCCAGCGGCTGCCGCAGCTAAGAAGCAAACTTGCCAGTCTCAGGGGGGCCGAGGGAGACGGGCTGATCCGGAGAATGCTTCGTCGGGTGAGCGCTGAGAGAGCGCCTGAGGGCCGTGCGGGCTCCTCTCTCTCCCCTTTCCCTTCCCTTAACCCTTCCTGGAGGAGGAGGGACAGGAGCTGCGGCGCCGGGAGCCGCGCTGACTGCCCTGGGCTCCCGAAACTTTGCGCCGCCTGGCCGCCGAGCCGAGCTTGACTCTGCAGAGCCCGGCCGTGTGGCTGGGCTGGTGAGGGACGCACGCCGTCCTCCGCCCCCGGGTCCCTAGGCCCGGCGCTGGGAAGGCCGGGGGGGGGGGGGGGGCTGTCCCTTCAGCACCACGGACCCGCAGCCCTCGGCGCTCGGGAGGCGGAGGCCGGCAACAGGCGAGGAGCTGTCTTTTCAGCACCCAGACCTCTGCCCTCCGAAGAAACCACCCGGCCCCCGCCCCGGTGCTCTGCCTTTTCTCCAGTTTGCGCGGGGGTGTGGGGGAGCAGGCGGAGAGCTTTCCTGGGAGGCTGGGGAAGCAGTGCACACTCTTCTCAGAGGCTCGCCTCCCAGCAGTGCTATTTTTTGCCATCCGCCCTCACCCCCAGCACACGCGCTCGCGCGCGCACACACGCGCGCACACACACACCAGACCTCTCTGGATTTCTTTGCCTTGAGTCTCCTGGGGCTGTGAGGAGCCAGGCGCATCTCAGAACGAGCCACAGCTCCAGGCTCAGAAGCCATGCTCTGCACGAACCCTCCTCCTTACCAAGCTCCCCAGGAATGAAAGGAACCCGGCGACCCTCTGAAAGCAGCCGTGATGTGGACCAACCCCCTGGAGTCTGCACCCTCCCGAGGGCCGTAGACAACCCGAGGAACTGGAGAGAGCTCAAGACAGGAAATCCCAGCTTTCCTAAAGTCCCTGTGGATGTCGAAAAGAGGAGATCTGAATTTTGGGAAGAGCCTGTCTTAGGTCACCCAGCTGCAGAGTGATTTTCCCCTCCGGCACTGCATCTCCCCCTCTTACCCCCGGCCGTCCAGAGTACCATGAAGAATTATGAGGATGTGTGACAGAGGTATCCAGATGTTGATCACCACCGTGGGAGCCTTCGCAGCTTTTAGTTTGATGACCATTGCAGTGGGCACGGACTACTGGTTATATTCCAGAGGCGTGTGCAGGACTAAATCTACAAGTGATAATGAAACCAGCAGGAAGAATGAAGAAGTAATGACCCATTCGGGGCTGTGGAGGACCTGCTGCCTAGAAGGTATTTCCAAATTCTTCTCAATGGCTCTGAGTAATCCAGCTTCTGATATGCGGGTGGGTGGGTGTTCAGGGAGATGGAGGGAGTGATGGGGAAGGAGAAATAGTTCAAATTGTTGCTGAGAACGTGCAGAGGTCCAGACTCTGTTCCCAGTAAGACGGGTGCTGTGTAGGATGAGAGGTTCTGTTGGGTTTTGTTTGTTTTTTGGTGTCAGCTTCATGTGATGAGATTGTGTGATACTCTAAAGCTGCTTCTGCAGTTGGGAAATCTTCTGATTCCAAATCCTTAGGCATATTGTGAACTGCCTGGATCTCTGTCTAAAAAAGAGGTCTTTAAATGTGCTTAAATTGCCTTTCAGTGTGTGTGTGTGAGTGTGTGTGTGTGTGTGTGTGTGTGTGTAGGAAGACAGGATGAGGGGGAGGCCAGAGAAAACCTGATCTGACCTGTCACATTCGGAGTTATTTCATTATTTCTCAACGTAGTCTTATCAGTTTTGTCTGAGTTTGAAGTCTAACTAGATATTATCATGAACTTCCTCTGTCAGTCAGTACCAGGGCAACATATATGAATGCCCACACCCATCCTCCGTACACAACACATTTAAAGAAAACTTCCTTATTCATACATGTTTCATTATTTTGGGTCAAAACCAAACTGCAGTCTTGTTATTTGGCATGCACCTGCCTTCATGCCTAACTCATCCCCAAACCCCACAAATATATTTTCATTGCATTTACGTAAGACAGCTACTCCAAGAAGTACAGCTCACCACTTCTAATTCTAAACATTAAGGGATTTGCTCTAAATTATAATAAAGAGACAGGCCAATTTCAGAATGCAAAGCCCTTGGGTGGCCTACCTCACTATTAAACTTGCTTTCAACCCATCAAGATCACGCTCAGCATCACTGGGCAGTGCCTGGATGTCACAGGGAGTGAACAGAAAGATAAAGAAGAAAAATCAAAGCTCTGTGGAACCTGTACACCTGAGGGAAGTCACTGGATTAGAGGAGCAGTAGGGAGTTTTCTCAGGCTTCTGAGGAATCTGCGAAGCTTGTCACAGTGACAGGTGAGAAAATGTGGGCTTCCTGTGTGCGCCGCTCTGCTGCTTACCATTGGTTCTCCATGCCTGCATGCCCAGTGACTGGCATGCTAGGGCTTCTTGAGAACTTGCATTTGTGTTAATGACTTAGGAAATCATGCTATGACATCACTTGCTAGTATAATATTGCATCATTCCCTGGACTTCTTTCTGGGCCCTGGTGCTCTGAACAACTGCTCTCCTGGCTGCCACTGATACCGTCTCCAGCAAATATTTGCAACTGGTGGGAAGCCTAGGTAGGGAAGGGGAATTTCAAATGCAACAAGGATCACGTAAAGTCAAAAGACCTGACCAATTCTCTGAACTATCTGTGTAACCTTGAGTAAAACATTTACCCTCTCCACCTCTCACTTTACTAGTCTGGAAAATGATTACTTTGAAATTAACATCTTGAATTAACACTATCCAATGCTTATACCACGTCAAGGGTACTAACAGAAATTCTGAAATAATTGTTTCCTGAACATTGTCAGAAATATATTTGTGATCATCTACAGTTGGATATGATGAAGTCAATTACCTTAGGGGAATTCCATAATTTGCTTTTCCTACATTGACAATAAGGAATCAAGTTATGTTTTGCAATACTGTGATTTGGTGGGTGTTTTGATTCTTACATAGTTCTAGAGATGATATAAGAAAAACTCCTAGGCCCCTCCCAAGCTGAAAAAGGCACATAGGTATATCACATTTTAGTCATTTACAATTCTGCCTCTTGAAACTAAACCTGGAAATGCACAATTAAACACCAATTTTGGCTCTCCCTGTTATACTGTATGAAAAAATAAACCTATCACAGCAGAAGTGGGGCCTAAAATTCATGAACCCTTGCTCAGAATTTCTCAACTCACGGGTCCCTCTTTTCTCCAACATCATGCCCCACACATACAGTTAGTATAAGGGATTGGAACCTCAGCCAGGTGTTTGGTGGCCTACGTGGGAGAAGTGAGAAATGAAAGTAAGAAGAATTAGATGAATCGAAGATGTGTTCTTGGGCAGGTTAATTCTTTTGAGAAAACTGGGTGCAGTCTTCATGTATTTGGCCCAGCCATTTTTGAAGTATGAAATACAGTAAGATGTATATTTATAACAAATTTTTAGCTCTGTATACACCCATACAAATAATACCTGAATGGGCCTGGCTAAAATTGGAAGCCAAGATTTTCATTAATATGCTGAATGCACCAAGTGTTCGAGGAATTTACAGGAGCCTTTGATTTCTGCATGATAAGACACATGCAGTAGCCAGCATCTGTCCTAGACTTTTCCATCCTCTGTGAGAATGAAGATGTATATCCACCTCTCATCCAGTATCTCCTGCCCACCCCCAGAGCCTCAAGATCCCCCTTTTCTGGTCCTTTGAGTGTCAAATGCTAACTTGGGGCAGGGCGAGGGGCTCAATTTTTTACACATATAATTAGAAGAGTCAGTTCTTTCATACTTTTTGATGAATTATAAGACAATGTGGCTATTTTGTCTGGAAGAAGAAAATGCTCAGGAGGGATGCAACAGCTGTCTGCAAATATCTGAAGGGCTGTCATTTGGAAGGGAGATTTCAAATGTTCTGTGTGGCCTCAAGGAGGCAGAAATAAGAGCGTGACAAAAACCACTTTTGTCTAAATATAAATTAGCTACCAGTGTGGAAGAGGAAGCTCCATGAGTCCCCCAACATCAAAGATATTCAAGTACTATAAGAAAATGACATCGATTTCCTAAACCTGGCTAGTCATTGCAATCTCATGAAGAGGCTTTTAAAAAAATAATACAAATAATCTGGCCACAGCTAGAGTCCATGTTTCCATAGGTCTCTGGTAGATCACTACAAACTGAATTTTCTGAAAGTCCTCTAAGCAATTATGATGTTAAAGCCAACATGTGTGGAGTATTTACAGTGGGCCTGAGGAAGGCTGTGTGTGTTCAAGAGGATCCCCTCACTCACATAAAGGAGGATAACTCCAGTTTTCATTTTTATAACCCACCAAAATGCCATTTATATTTACCTCCTCAGTAGTTGCTGCCACTGTTCTAGAATTTTGAAAAATTAAATCTTTCATCTTTCAGGAGCTTAATCATGTGGGTATTATTATGACCCTCATTTACAGAGGAGGAAACTGAGGCTTGGGGAAGTTACAGAATTAGCCCAAGGTTACACATCTCAGTCTGGCAGGGAATACTTAACCCAAGCCACTCTGTTTCTCAGAGGATTTGCTAGGGAACATTAACTCATGTTCTGGTGGATAGTTGGCTGCTGGCACAAGCGTTACTTCATGAGATTCGAAGACATGGGTTTTTCCATTCAGAGTGCCCGGGTCTCATGGCCCTCTGCTTCGCTATGTAGCAACAGCAGGGGCAAGGGCACAGGAGACAGCAGACCAGCACAAACTCAGTGGCAACAAAGGACACACTTTGAATGAAGAAACAAGCAACCTATGTAGAGACACCCACACTGAGAAACCAAAGGAAATGCCTGACTCATTATCTGGAAGCCTGCAAAGCATTCACAAAGTAGCTCGCAACCTGCTGCATGCTTTCAAAGGCAGAGTGTGAATTTGAATGAGAACATGTTCAATATGCCACTCCCTCATTAAGAAAACCCCTTGAGGTCCGAGTTAATGATCCAAGCCATGTATTTCAGTAGTAGAATGACCACTGGACTAGTAGTAAGGTATTTGGTTGTCAATTACGTTTCTGCCACTAACAGGTACATGAATTGCGCATATTGTTTTCTTCCTTTGGGCCTCAGTTTACCCAATTCTAAAATGGGAACTCCAGATTAGATTAGGGAGTGTTCTAATGAGTCAGATGTGGTGGTACTTACTGATACTCACCGGCACCCCAGGAAGCTGGGGCAGAAGCAACACAATTTTGAGCTGGGGCCGGGCAATTTAGTGACTTAGTGAGATCCTGTCTCAAAATTTTTTTAAAAAACATTTTTTTAAGGCTGGGGATGTATCTCAGTGTGAAACCCCTGGGTTCAATCCCCAGCAATAAATAAATCAATAAGTGGTAACAAATCCAAATGTTCATGTGGCCTTGACAGGTGAAACAAGCATTTCACGGTCTTCATAATGCAGTTCTGAGGTGCGGGTGCGTATCTGGGGGGGTGGGTAGCCTTGCCTTAGGAAGACAGATGGTAGCTGAAATTTGGTCTCCTTGCAGGAGAAGTAGGGAGTGCCGAAGGCTGCTTGCCGGAAGCTGGACATCACTGACACCATCTAAAGAACAACTGTCTCTCGTCCTGAGTTGAGGTTTCCTCCTCAAGTGCTGTGTTCTAAATGCAGCCCAATAGTCCAAGTAAAGAAAGGCTAGAGGTAAAACGTCCTAAATTTTAAAATGCAGGCAACCAATTCAAATTCAACTTTTTGAAAACATAGTGTCAGCTGAACCCTATTTATATTGTAGCTGAATTGGGCCCAGGAGTTACCAGTTTTGAGCCCTGAAAATGACCTAGGATGTCTTTTAAATCCGAATTTCTGATTTTCATACTTGATTACTGAATTACTCTTTATAAATCAGTAATCACTTTTTCAATTCACTTTTTTAAAATGGCTCCTAAGAAAAGAAACCCCACTTAGGATTTTAGGACAGGGAACTTAAAATTATGGAAAAGAGGTTCAATAAACTGCTATTTCTGCTGCAGATGGGCCTGAGCGACACCAAACATCTGGCTGAAAAATTGAGAAAACTTAGCCAGCCATTAGAAATTCCCCCATATTTCCAAATCTCCAGATGGCTGGCTTTTTCAGCCAGATGGGGTTCCAGCTTTATTTATGTCTTCAGAAGCCTTCAGGGAAGCTGCAAAGATGTCGTCGAGGGTAAGGGTGAGAGAAAGACATAACACACACTGAGTATTTCCTGGGTGCCAAGGCTGGCGTTGGGAGCCTTCCAACATGTTGGCAAGC